AAGAGCTACAAAACTACACCAGGCACCAATGCTCCACTTTGCAATATACTGCTCCAGTTTGCTGAAGGTAACTCAACAGTTAACTACACCCAGCTTGATGTGATCAGATTTTAACTAGACCACCTGGTAACACCTGCAGGAAAAACTTCTCTCTTCTTTGGGTACAGAGACACAGGGACTGACTGACATCTTAGTGAATTACCCTCCTGAATTCTACTGTAATACAAACCTTTCTACTTTCTGATCTCCTTAGCTTTCAGCACTAAAATAGAAGAGTTTTTCAAGGTGTATCTCATTCAAGGAGCACATGTCCAAAATCAGACCATCAACCACTTGTTATTGCTCAGTGCTTTAACCTGTTTCACTCAAAACAAGCCCGGGTCAGCCTGAGTTTACCAGACCCCCCCTGCTAATAAATTACAGCTCTACATGAGCAACTGAGAGCAACCTCAGATGGGACAGAGACACAAGTAGTTAAAGAAAGCAATCCCTTCGTGAGCACAGGTGAAGTCCAGTTAACTAAATCTGCTACTTGAAAAAAACAAAAAGGACACAAAAATTTTTAAGTTAAGCACAAGTTGTCTTAACAAGCAACTGCAGATCAATTTACTGCTGTAGAGCCTACTGAACAGCCAGCAACTCAAAGTTTAACTATCTGTAATCCAGTAGTAGAAAATTACAACCTGAATAACTTCAGTTTCAGATGTTACTACAGCCTTTTCCTGTTGATTAGGAGAAGAAACTATTCCTAATCTTCCAGTATCAGTTTATTCCTAAATTCACTGTAAATCTGCTGTTAAAAGCTCTATAACTTCTACCTAGTCAGGTGAGAAATATTTGATTCTTATTCTGCCTTGCACTCACTTTGTGCAGCAACTTTGTTCTTTCTAAAGGAGTTTCTAATACACAGTAACAACAGAAGATGATTAGGATGACTTTCACATTTTCAATACTATTCGGCCTGGCATATGTTATTGAAAACCATTATTTCTGGGAAAATTGCATAAACTTGCTATTACACTACAGGACAAACAAAATGACAAACACATCAAAATTTATGACAAAAAATTATGAGTTGTGCTGGTCTGTTTTTTAAAAATATAGTCTCCAAGTGCACCTACCACTGTGTTCTTTGCATGGCTTTACTTGTCTCTGTCCCCTACAGACAACACCACACAGGACCCTCAACCTGCAGCAGCGTTTACATCTCAGAACAGCAAGAAAAGCCTCTAAAACAGCCAGCCCAACATGCCAGCCCTACATGTGCTTTCTGCCTCCAAGCTTAGAAAGCCCCCCTCATTCAGGTTCTCCTCCAACACGTGCATCAGTCTGTTCTACAGGAGCGGCGTTCAGATAAAACAGACTTTCAGAGGCAGACTCTTTCTTGGCAACTCTTCTTGGCAAAGCATCAAAACAATCCTGTAAGTTGGCTAGCAAGGGGAAGTAGCATCTTTACAAATTAGTAGCTTTGGCATTCTCTCAATGACCCAAAGTATTTATCCATTCTTCCACTCAATATCAAATAGTTGGGGAAGGAAGTATGCAACATAATTAGATAACCATTCCAACAGATCCACTGAGCCAGAGCTCAGTGATCTGACCACCTAACTGAATTAAAAATTAAATATATGCCCTTACAGCATATATTTTCCTCTCCAATAGTTACTTGTATCTCTCTAGAACTGCATTCTGTTACTATTAAACTGGCATCTAATAAAGACTCACACCCCAGTCTGAGCTTTCCAATGCACAGAGTGGAAAACACCTTCTCATCAGTGCTGCTTCCAGATGAATATCATTTTTAAGACATCTGTGTACCTCATTTCACAGTATAAAATTAAGCTTTCATCTAATCAAGGACTAGACTGACCTCCAGGACTTCACATTTTCTTAAGTCAAGGCATCAGAGGAAACATTTATTCAAAGTTTTCTCCCTCATAGGACAATCTCCCATAACAGTAAGGACATTTACATCAGTAAAATCTGCTTTCATATAAATGCATTATCAACTCATTACAGCCCCAGGTCTGTAACCTGAAATAACTTGAAATGCAAAAATATTTCAAGTAATATTTTCCCATTTATCACAATCACATGTGGTGAAAGAATTCTGATGTTTAGGTTGAAGTTAAGTAAAGGTACTGCTGCACATCAGTTACACAGGAAAGTGGCCACAAGATTTTCAGAACCATTTGCTATTCTCTAGTTTGCATCCTGTATTTACTGTTGGGGTGAGGGGAGAGGGGGAAAGTGTTAAGATCCCACGTCATATGTAGTATGGTACCTAAGAATAACCATATATGGTACCCAAATAACCATAAAGCTGTTAATTTCCAACTGTTACATTTAGCAACAGTAACTTGATCTGTTCTCATTAATCCCCTTTATAATGCAAATTCTCTGGTCAAAGTTGGAGAATTTATGGATTTACTATTTTGTCAAAGAAAAAAGTGGGGGACACATTTGATAAATCATTTGATAAGCGGCCAGTAACCTAAACACAGCTGATGTCCCATGCTTTACATACACGATAATTAATCTTTACACTTCTTCCCCCAGGAAATTTGTCGGAATGGTACAAAGTTTACAATGAAAGAAGCTACTCACAGTCTGGTCCTTCCAAATTGAGATATGGTATGTCCATTACTCTCATAAGAAACAGCCTGAAGCAGAATGGAAAAGAACTATTAGCAAATTTCTGCCTGAAGACCTTTCAATAAGCTTTCCTTTTTATAGTTTTTCATGTGTCTGTTTTGGAATTAACCACCCCAAACATATCTTCAACTATATTAAAACAAACAGACCCTTTAATTAAGTCAAATCCATTACCTTACAATCCATATTCAAAATGTTACTTGGTATCAAAAAAACAAGGACAAAGAAGGCCCAGACTGTTACTGCTGAAAACAATTAAGACACGTGGGGAAGTGAACATTTAGCAAGTAGCAGCTCTGTGCAGTAAGAGCCATTGCACAGTGGACAGTGCAAAAGCTGTCATCATTCTAAATACACATAAACTTCCCCAATTTCTGAGCACTGCATCATGCTTTAGACAGAATGGATCCTAAAACCCTAAAACTGCAAAAGCCATCACGACTTCTGTGGAGAATACCAGGATGAGGCTTTTGCCCTTTAACATGTAACTGAAAGAGTTTCTCAAAACATTCAAGAAATGTTTTCAATAAAAGCTCTTATTCAGCTCCGAAACCTATTTCCCTCCAAAATAAGATAAACAGCCTAAAATCCTGTCATAGGTACAGATGCCACATTGTCACAAAACATTTGCTATGTACAGTGTTCACTGCAGGGCTAAAATAAATAACTTTTCCCTCATAACTTTAAAAAGCTTCTAAAATGCTTATCAGATTACAATTACAGTGTTCAACTAAGTAATAACTGATGTAAACAGCTGACAAAAACATTTTAAGTGTACAGGCTGATCTGTAATGCCCTACAGATTCTTTGTATCACACCACACTCACTGTTAGTTTCTAAGGGTTTGAATCCTATGTCCTTATGGTTACCTGTACCCCTGAAAAGTCTACTGGAATGCAGCTGATAACTTGTTTTTGCTATAAATATTCAGGAGAAAGAAAAAAATTCTAACACGGGGGAAAAAATGGGCTCTATGACAGGTTCACACGTGAGCCAGAGGCTCTTCAGAGAACTGGCACCAGTTATCACACACTGTCCCATCTAATTTCTCTTCCTGAGTCTCAGGAAAGATACACAACAATGTGCACTGTGTCCCTCTGAGCACTGCAGAACCTAAAAGGAACTTTATCAATAAAAATTAGAAACATCTGCATCAATTACTTTAGAAACTTCACCAATTGCAGCACAGCACTGAGTAATGAAAACATTTTATTTAGCCTTTGGTGCCACACTCCTGTAGGCTTGGCCCCATCACAGCTGTCTGTAAACTGAACATGAGTGACACATGGAGAACAGAGCCAGCTTGAAAACACAGATTCCACAAGGAAACTGAGGAAGATATTCTCACTCTGACATATCCAGAGAGATCCAGGGTAATACTGACAGGTAGGTAGCAGCTTTCAGAAAAATAAAAGATGAAGTCTACTAAAAACACAACAAAAACTCCGAGGGACAACACAAGTTAAACTTCCCTCCCCCAGCTTTTATCATGCTGAGGAAAGCAATACAGTGGCCAACAGCAAGAACAGGCTTAGGCCAAAAAAATACATATACCTGAAATTAATTAAGATCAGGTTTTTATCCTCAGAGATAAATCCTACATTTATTTCTTTGGTCAAACAATTACATGACTAAACAGCACATAAACACAAACACACACTCTATAGGATAAATGCTGACTGTAATATTAAGTGCACTTTTACTGCTGTTACTTATGTAATATACTTACAAGCACATGGATTGCACATAATGCATAATTAAGTATCCATAACTATAGTTCTAAGATTGGTTATCTATCTGCAGAACATTTAAATTAATAAGGTTGTTCTGTATGACAATGTGAACTCTATATTAAATTAGCTTGATTCATGAAGTTGTAGATGACATTGATTTTCACTACATTAACTCACATTTATTTAAAAGATATACAGACCAAGCTAAAAAGACAATGTTATTTCCCACAACTTTGAAGGACTGCAGGCAGATCCCATGGTCAGAGGACAGAGACCTATTTCTCAACAGGAACTCTCAGATATTTTGAGGAAGCTACTTGGAAGACAATTGTTTCTATGGCAAGTCAGGTAAAATGAGGGGAGGAAGGCAATGGTTTGGCAAAGAAAATTAAATTAACATAGAGAAGCGAAGGGAGAAATGAACTTATTTGCAACACATCAGAGCACCCAACTCCCTGGTGAAACATTTTCCACAAATACAGCACAAGCCCAAGTGATTTGCATAGATTTTGGTTTTCTAATATCCCTTTGTATGAAAAAACTATTTCTAAGATAATTTATATTTCTATAGACCATGATGCCATTCCGCTCAATAAAACACGGTGCTCTCATTTCTCTACACCTCTTTCCCTCACTGCCTCCAGCTACATCAAAATACACAGTATTCAAACAATCCAAAGAGATACAGAAGAACATTGCCATTAAAATTTTGGGAGGAGCTTGCAGATAGGGGCAGGGAAGTGTGGAAGAAGAGAAGAGCTGTTGCCCTAAACCAAACAGTCAAAAAATTTCAAACCAACTCCACAGTACATGACACAATAACAGTACCCAAATTATACACATAAGAGTTTAGATATTGCAATAAAGAGTCCCATCATCTCCACTCATAAATGTTCATCAGGGATTACTCACAGCAGACTGTTCACATGAACGTGATTTTTCAAAGATGTTGCATATACAATAAAGTATAAAGATTACAGAAATGCATGTCTGCAATTCTTGGCTTATTGAGTTGTTTATCATATAACTTACTGCACTATGCCTAAAAGAGACAAATAACCCTAAGGCAAAGTCTGGTTTTAATCAGTTCTACTCTTACAGAAAACCTGAAACTAAAGATTTTACCTATGTTCATCACTGACCTATAGGAACATTAACCTATGTGCTGGTCACCACTCCTGAACAGCAGGCCAGGAAGATCCATAACTTTGCTGATATAATGGAAAACATCAAAATTACTACTGAAAAAACTACTACGTTCCTTTGAACGCTAAGTTCATAAAAATCAAAGCTTGATTTTTTAGTTTTAAATTTATTCCCCCTAATCACATTACTGACATGCCTATTGAACAGGAAACGTTTCCAAAATCCTGTCAGCCACACCAATGGTGTGAAAGTTTAATCACTAAACTGCATTGAAATATTAACACCTTGTATTCAGAGATCTTGAAATGAAGACTTCATGAGCAACCCAAAGATTCATAAAGTAGTCTGCTTTGAAGAACCTTTTCAAGACTATCCTGACATATGTTCAAACTGAGAACTTTGCTTCTCAATAATTGTCTTATAATAAGCTCCTCTGTTCAGCTTCTTTCAGGAAAAAACTTTTGTGACATAGGGTATAACTTTCATTTGTTCAGCTTACTGTTTGCATGGAGCAGTTTGTGTTTTGCTTGAAGAACATGACTACAGCTCAAAAGAAAAGGTTTCCTTGTTCTGACTGCTGCCCACAGGATCAGGTAGAACTTCTGGAGGAAGGAGGAAGAGAGTTTTTTTCTCCCCAGGAGGAAGAGGACGCTCAGCTAGGGAAAGCTTCTAGACCAAACCAGAGACAAGTCCACGCAGCAGGAAGCTGGCTGGCAGCTCAGAGCATGCCTGCAAAATGCCCCAGAGGCACCAGACTTACCAGGGATCTTTAGATAACTATGGGAATGGCACAAACCCTGGATGCACTTACAGGTGCTGGACAGACCAAGTTCTGCCAACAGAGACCTGCTCTGTAAGGACTGATCAGAGAAAAAAGATATGTTCATTTAAACACCTAACAGCTCTGGCTTCTGACACGTGCTTAAATCTCTTTTATTTCTTAAAAAATTTAAAAAAGAGTTGTCTTATTCTGATTTGTTATTTTGCTTCATAGGAGAAAGAAAACTAGCTCTACAAATCCAAGCTTTGGCCTGCTCACTATAAGGGAAACGTGAGACAGCCTCGTCTCTGAGCTCTGACTTGGGTGGCAGATGTTAGTTAGAACATGACAAAGCTTCTAAAATCATGTGAAAGTAAGACATGGCAAGTCTTCCAAGTTTCCATGATTTAAAAATAATATGCAGCCTTTCTGAATAATGACAGAGCAGATAAACATTCTTTTCTTGCAAACAGCAATTTTCAGTTCTTGCTTAAAAAAGAAAAAAAAAAGAAGTTGCTCTCCCTACAATTTCTTGTTAACTTTCCCTTCCCTTACAGTTAGGCAGTGTGGACAGTGAAGCCAGAACAGACAGAGCAGGCTTCCTCTCACACCCCTCAAAAATGAAAAGTGACTTTGAAATGTCACTGCTAGAAGAACGTCACATTTCAAATTTACAATTAATTTGAAAAGCTTAAATGTAATGTATTATTGTGACAGTTTTAGAAGTTTCAGTTTGTACTTATTGCAAATATGCATCTCTAGAAAGCATTTTGGTTAATGACTGAAAAATTAACCCCCTCAATTGGCATCTGCTGGTTGGCACATGTGTGTGCTGGTGTTCCTGGAAACAACCTTGTGACAAATCCCATCTTATAATGGAATTGTGCTGATCAATTCTATCTTCCCCTTCACATTCAAATCAAGCAGCCACTGCTGGTCCATGTTCAATCTAAGGAATGCACATACAATTTGTAACATCTGCTGGAATATACGGAGTTACTGCCTCACATGTCTCAGGGTCAAGAGAACTGTTGGTTTCCAGACCAATGAAAGGTGAGAACCACTGATCACAATTATTTCCTCATTCCATCTGAAGCTAAAATAATTAATTTTGCCATCTCCTACAGTAGATGGTTTAAAAGGATGGGATTTCTCCTGAATTTAAAAAATAACCAGACAAACTAAGCACTAGCAGTTTTTTTAATTCAACTTCTTTTCCTTTATGTTACAGATTGTAGTACCCCTAGAAGCTTCCTAAGGTAAAATCTACACATTAAATATGTAAAGAATCAAATCTGTGCATAAAGGCTTTTAGATTTCTCAAGTCTTACTTCAGTTAGTTCAAGGAGTTTGCATGAAGATCCAATTCAAAGGCCAAACACTCATCACAGCATCATCCCATAAACTGCTAATCACACATATATGTTTGTTATGCCTCTCCAAAATGGGTTACCTGACAATGGAGAGACAAATGCTTTGTGTTCTCTGGATTGATATCACAATAGGGATATTTTTCCAGACTGTTTACTGTACTCACTTTTAAATATCACCAGTTTCTGACAGTCCAACAACATAAAGAACTCCTGATCAATGTTTCTTTAGTTCCACTACCCCCAAGGTTTACTCCAGAAATAACTTTCTAAATGGTAAACATATCCTCAACACGGGCATGGAAAGGCCATTAAAGAAATGCAGGGACTCTTCCAAGTGTCCTTTCACCATCCTCCTCAAAAGCAAAGGTACTGCCTGTACAACCTCTGGCCTCCCTGCAGCATTACCAGCATGAGCCAAAAAGCCAATAAAACCAAAGTTTAAAGCAAAATGCAGTCAGCCATTGATTCCAAGGCTGGAGACAGATATGCTAAGGACAGGGTTCCATTTCCACGTGTTAGCAGGTCTTTTATTACAACAACTACTTACTTGTTAAAAAAAGGTTCAATGAGTTTTGATCTGGCAGACACATGGTTTTTCGGAGGAGTGAGGAAGGAACCTGATGAATGAAGAATAAATTCAGTGTGGAATAAACAGCTCCAGGCAGCACCAAGGGGAAGGTTTGGAAAAGATCACATAGGTACCTAGGAAATTAGCCATAGAAATGAAGCACAGTCCAGTAATGTAGGCATCATATCCGGCTTCGTGGAGTTGTTCAGATGCTGTATCATAACTTGGAAATCCTTCTGCACTTTCTGAGGGGAAAAAAATCATTTATAAGCATGTTAGCACAGAAGAATAAGGCAGCTCTGTGTGCTTACCCACAGGTCAGAGCATAACATCGTTTGGGGAAGGTTATACAATTTACAGAAGTTCTGAAATTTCAAAAGTCCTTAAAAAAGCAGTTTTGTTTTGCATTTTTAGGTAAGAATAGGTTCCTAGGACAGAAAGACTTTCTTATTAAAAGAGCCATGAATGCCCACACCTACTCAGCCAAAATGGGAGTATTAAGTCTGAGACAATGACTGCAGGATTCCCCACAAAGTGGGTTTTTTCTGACTGACTTGCATTTAAAAGAGCAGAGGAGAATATTTCAGAAATAAGAGCAGTTTGATATATCCTTACCAACTTTAGGAGGGCTGAATGGAACCTCTTTTAAACGCTTTTCCAGTTCTGCAAGTGATGTATTATTTATGATCTCCTGCAAGAAAACACACCATTAACTGCCAGTGCCAAGCACATTTTCCCTGGACACTGAAATCAAATAGGATCAAATGAGTATTTACTGCTGCCACCTTGTGTTCTCCAAGGCTATACATAGCCCCACTTCAAACTAATGCACCAGAAAGTCTGTCAAGACAAGTTCTAAACTTAACCTGCCCCACCTACAACATAATGAGTCATAAGCATTTATTAATACTTTTCAGAATCACTGACAATGAATTATGCAGATGTTACATTTCTATTTCAGTCTGGTTTCATGCAGGGTGCATGTGGCAAGGGAAAAGGCAGCACAGACAGCAGGGAAAAATATCCTAAATATTGATCATAATGGTTGAAGGCATTCAAGGTGAGTATTGAAATGTGCCTGATGACTGGACATTTTGAATAGTTTTGTAAGTGTAAGTACTGCTGATTTAAAGTAATACAAAGACAGCCTGACAATCAGCTTAGCTGAGTTGCATTAGTCAATCTAAATATGCATAAAATTCACAAAAATATATTAGAGATTAATTCCTTACTGAAGTTCTTAATCAAATATATGTTGGCAATCAGTACAATGGAAACATGCAGATCAACAGCAGAGAAAACAGAACATCTCACAGTCTTTCTTACAGTTGTCTCAAATCTCTGAGGACCAAATTTCCTTTGGTTCTAACTCAAGACAGCTGTTTACACTTATCATCAAGTCTGCAGTCTGAAAAGTTATCAAGAACTAAATACAAAGAAGAAGTTCAAATGATGCAATTATTTGGCATCTGGAAGCAGTATTTGATAACGATATCCTAAAACCCAAGCACTGCTGTAGAAATACAAATAACAATGGAACTGTACCAAACATAAAAGTTATGGAGGATTCTCAGCTTTCAGAACACCAAAGCCTCTATTCTTACTACAGTAGTGTACAACACAAACCTGACAATTTTTAACATTTCAATAAGACTTTCTGTTATGCAACACTCCAGAGTCACAGAGGTTTGCACAAAGATGCTGCTTCAGCAGTGTGTTTTTTAATTCAAAGGCACGTGAGAAGGCAAGAGAGGATGAACACTTATCTCAACACCTACTTAGAACAAAACTCATGCTGCAAGAGCTTTTAAGAGAAACCTGTAGTTTCTTTCCTCCTGCTGACTACCCACTGAACATCAGGGCCACAAAAGAACCTAATGATGATCAAGCATTTTTCTAAACAAACCTACGTCAGCATTCACAGTATTCTAAATATTTGAATATACAAGCAGCTTCCAGACTCTATTTGTTCATAAACAGCACTTTTTTTTTCTCCTGAGGTTGCTGATGTTTTACAAAAAGAAAGTAATCTACTGATCACATTTGAACTTGCAAAAACCCTACATATTTTGGAATTTAAAGCTGCCAAGTTACTTTAAAACTTCAAATACAAAAGACAACGGTAGGGAAGTAAAAATCTATATCCCAAAATATTTTTAAGTTAAATAAGGTGAAAGGAAAATCATTCTTCTATAAAAAAAGGAGCATAACAGAAAACATTATTAGACATTTTTCTCTAAAAAGAAATAAAATTTGTTTCAATACACATGAATTAATGCAAGTTTGTATCTTCAAATAATTCCATATATTATTAATTAATTTACCTTGAAAGGTTGTGTACTTGCCATCAGTTTAGTATCCAATAACCTAGAAACAAAGTAAGAGCTAAATAAGTTGAAATGGAAGAATGCCCATTTTGCCAAATCCTCAAAAGTCTTTTAGCATATTAGGTGGGAAACAGCAGATACACCTCCTGGAAACTACTCTCGGATCTTAGAACAGCCCAAACATTCCTTGGCTTTGTTCAGCATGGAAAATGACAGCAACCAAGCAACAGCAAGAGTTGCAAACAACTAATAGCAAATAAATGTTGTTCCAGATGGAGATTCAAAACACCAATCATCATGCCAGAACCAAAGGAACAGCAAAGGTGCATCTTTGCCAAAAAGTAAACCAACTGCACTGTTTTTCTGAGAAAAAAAAAGATGCTCAAGAATACTTTAAAAACTCTATTTATCTAACATGAACCCCATTATATTTCCAGTAACAGCTAGTTTACAGGACTAGGACAAACAGGATCAGCCTGCTAAGACTGTACTAAAACACTTGAAAGGTTGAACTAAGAACTTACCGGGGAAAGACACATGATGTTACTTCCTTGAACTCACTTAGGTCCTAATTCAACATTAAATTGGAAGATAAAATCCAAGTCAGTTAACTGGTTATCAGTCTTGGAATGACAGAGAGCAGTAGCTACAATTATCCAAACAGCTTCTAACAGTGAGATAAAGCAACTGAATTCTCATCAAGTCAGAGATGTATTTGCATTACCATAGATACCACCTGCAATTACACACAACTCCAGACTCATTATTTCTGATCTGCCTGTGATTAGCAATGAAATGTTCTATCATTTCCAGTACCCTATCCTAGTAAGCCTAGACTACCTCTAATTCCAGCTGTGTTAACAGCTCTACTTAAAATGTTCCCAGCATTTAACATTTCAATGGAATATAAGCAGTTGCTCCAGGTACACAGTTGATGCCTCCAGGTTTAGATCTTCCAGAAGTAAACAGTACAGCAACAACTGACAGTTGCTGATGTTCCAACACCATCTAAACAGGTCCCAGATTTCTTTCTCCCATCTCGTGATCAAGTCTTTCCCAAAACACCCACAGACCCTTGAAGTCTGCAAGTAACATAATGTCCTGTGGGTCATCCTTCCAATGAGACCTTTGGTTTCTTGGATGTTCTTGGTGCCAATAAATTGCTTAGTTTAACTTAATTGTTGGACAACTGCAGTGATGAACTGTTAGACTGCCCCTACAGCAGTCAGCAAAGTGTGCTCCCTCCAATTATTCTGACATTGCACCTCTTCATCCCAATGAAATCATCCTGCTACAGGATTTCTTATCACTCTCTTAGTTCTCTTGTATGAAAATTCACATTCCCATTTATTAAACTACAGGGGGAAAATACCACATAGTTATGCTGAAGCTCCAAACCAGTTTTTTAACATGTCTGTCAGTTAAACATACCTGCCATTATCCAAGCAGTTTTGTGAAGGACTAACAGATACAAGCAAAAACCACAATTTCAATGTTTAATTTGAACGTTTTAAAAACGTAAAGGAGAAGAATTCAATCCAGCTAAGCTTTCTACATAAAGATTTAGGAAAATAAGGCAGTAGCCAAAAAGTAACAAATGGACTTTTAAAAAATATTTTTCTGTACTTCTTAATAGACTGATTAATGCTTCTATTCACAAGAAAGTGTGGAGATAAGACTAAAAGACAAATACATTAAGGGTCTAATTTCATCATCTGAACACTCAAAAGACTACTTACATCAGGCAGGGGACAATAGAACTGATGTATGGTGTGCATGACATCCAGCAGCATGTTGTGCCCAATAACCAGCTTGCCCTGTGAAAAGAACATTAAATGTTGGTTGCACTTCCAGCCATGGCCATGGCAAAGGCAATATGTGAAAAGCACCTGACGTTTGCCAAGGGCAGCTGGGAACAAAGACAAATCAAACCTCCCCATTTGCTCTGTGCCTGCCCCACACACTCCTCCATTCTCTCAGAGCAGCCACTCCTTTTTCCTCTCCTCCCAACCATTCATCACAGCCTTCAGCAGCAGCTTCAAATGTGGAGAAGATGCACTAGAACAGATACTTACAATTTGGTTTCCAAATGCAATCTATTTAAGGTTGAAGTCAAGTAATTTTTCAGTCCATTACCTTTTAATTTACAACACCTCACAATATATTCCTTACGGTTATAATATATGAGAGTTATTAGGGGCTTCTCACAGTGCAGAACCTTTCATGCCAGATGCTGTAGAAGCAAGCTCCTTCTTAAAGAAGTACAAGAAGTTTTTTAAATGTTAACTTTGACACATTTGACACAACTGTCCTTCTCTGATTTGCCTTTAACTGCCAGAAAAAAAAAAGGAAAAAAACCTCCCAACAACAATCTTTTCAGAACAGAGAATGAAAGCCCTCAAAGCCTATTTACTGAAGAGTCCTAAGAAGTTGGTACTGTTGATTCTTACAGGTAATGAGATTGTTCATGTCATTTATTATTTTAAAAGCTTACTTAACCTACCACACTCAATCATTATAAAACATGAAGTAACATCAACTTACAAAGTCTCTTTAACTTGTATTTAATTCTATCTCCCAAAATGTAACAGCAAAAGAATTCTTTCTTTAAATTATTTTTTTTTCTTGCAAACAAAGGTATATTAAAAATCATGGTAACTTACAGAATTAGCAATGGCATGAACAACTCTGGAAAATCCTACTGCATCATTCAATTCTTCCTGTAAGGAAAGATTCTGACATTAGTGGAACATAAATACAAATATTGCAAAAACTGTACCTGCAAACTGTTTCTCAGACATAACCAAGAACAGACCACAGAGGAAACATCAAAAGCAGGATGCTGCTGACAGAACTGCAGTTTGATGTGTAGCTCTACTTCACTGGCAAGTAGGACAAGTCACAAGCTTTTGTAGTAGTTGTCCCTGGCCAGGGGCAAAAGCCACTCTGCCTTCTGCTCACTCCCTTCACCCAAAATTCCAAGGCAGGCATTAAGACTTGTGGATAAAGACAAAGAGAGCCCACCCTCCCAGCCTCCTTGCTTCTGGGGGAGGGTGGAAAACAAAGTCTTGACACTACGCAATTGCTGCCCAGCACAGACAAAACATGTGTATGGTATCACTGCTGTTTTAGCCACAAATGCACAGCACAGCTACATAAATACAGCTGCTACAAAGGGTAACTTCATCCTCCCCAGAGCAGTAACAGCTGCAGTCAGCTCACTGTCAATACAGATCTTTAACAGTGCTCACCTCCTCCGAGACTGCAAACAGCTCAACAAGATATTAAAATTAAGCTGTATATCTTCACCCACATTTTTAACACATATTGTTATATATGCAACAGGTTGGATCCTGACTGTTATTTCTATTAGATCAGGTTGTACTTTTATGCCAACACTGAGGTTGGGGAAGAAACATTTTTCACTATTTACATAAACAAAACCAAGAAGAAACATTATACAACTACAATATTATACAAACACAATATTACATAATGCGAGTTACACATTTTAAACTGGTTTGGGGGGAATCTGACTACAGCACCTATTTTAGTCTCGCTTAAGGAATTTTTTTGTAACAGATTTTTCTTTTTCAGGTCTATGGAAGTAATTTCTGCCTTGCTTTATCCATTTTTATCCAACCAGAAGTGAAATTCAATAAAACATTCACTGTTATTTCTGTTCAGCTCTGAATGCCTCTAGTCAGAGTGAGTAATACCCCCATTAAGAATGCCTCAGAAAAATCCACTCTGGTAGTAAATTGTCCCTAACTTGCCATCTGGAAAACCAGAAGTCACATTAGTTAATGTCTCTGTTAGATACCTTTTTTCCTCCTGCATGCAAATATTACTTGCTTCACCCAAACTTATGTATCTTGAAATACATAAGGACAAATCACAGAAGTTTGACCAAGAATTCCCACAGTTCAAGTCCTGCGACCTCCTGAAACCTGCATCAGACTCAGGAAGCAAAATCCAGAGTCCCATAAACAATGAGAGTGCCTGAATACACCAGGCATGACCTTGTGTCCAGCTTGTTACCACAGCAGTCCCTGCAGCACACCTTTCTATGGAGAAATGACACAGGAATTGTACAGGACATTGTACTGACAACCAAGAGCAATCGAGCTTTGGAACAGAACACCACTCCCAGGACAGACTGGGAATCCAATGTAACAACTTGCTCAAGAATTTCTGCAAGAAACTGATGTTTCCTATTCCTAGGCCACACTCCTCTGACAGAGCAGATTCACAGCAGGAGGCATTCACTGCTCCAGAACATTGGTTCAGTATTCCACAATTTCTCATTTAATTTTCTAGAATGCCTTGCAGCTCTTCTAGCTCTACTGCAAAGCCTAAGTTATCTGGCAGAATTTGGAAGACGAGTTTCAGAAACATTACCAAATCCTAGCACACAATTGTTCATTGCTGACTGAAGGCAGAGATTCTCCCTCTCCTTTCTCGTAAATGAATGAAATGCAACTTATTTACCTGTTCTTTTGCTTGTTTCTGCTGTTCTCTTCTTTTTCGTTCCTCTTCATCTACCTTACTAATAACAATATATCTCTCCTTCTAAAACAGAAAATGTATCGTTTGAGGCATGACTCTGAGAAGTTCTTATTTAAGTTTCTGTAAATTTACATTGTAAAGAAAACTGTCACCTCAGCAGCAGTTACTTGGCAACACAACTGTTTCTATTGTAGGCACCACTTTATCACCTACTCCCAACAGCCTACTTTAGAAAGCTGTATTAGATTCATCCACCAAACCTAACTTCCACTAAACCCACTTTTTAATTCTCAGGAAAGGTTACCAGTACGTCCTTGTAAATAGTTTATTTCAAATATCTTTTGGAGCAGTGATTTTTGCTGGGAGGTGAGGACACAGCATGTGATGCCACTATTTTTCCTCTAAGATCACAATCTACATTTCACCAACATTGAACATCAGATCACTACATCTTAAAATACCTTTCAGTATCCTTTTAAAGGAATAATATTAAGCCACATAAATACATGCTGATACTCCATATGTTGGTCAGATTTAATATTTAGAAACCAGTTCACTGTATTCCATTTAGAATGTTTTGCATTTGCATAACAAGGCTCAAGTTATATCTAAAAGTCAGGAGATTTGGTAAAATTGAGAAATTCAATTTCCTTCAAAGAGAATAAATGTTAGAGGCCTAGTTACCTTATCTGACTCCAGAGTTTCAACATGAATACCTTTTGGATACCTACATCAAAACAAATGAAAAGTAACTATAAATAACTATTCATTTGGCATTTAGCAAATTGAAACCACAACAGTGATTCAGTAATTTCATGTTTCATTATTACTTAAGTGCAAAAGAACTATTAAAAGTTTCTTTTTATTTTAAAATAATGGAAAATCTGAAGCAACAGGCTAATTTGATTGGCCTCCTTACATTACATAACAGTAACTAGCACTAGAATATATTATCTTATGCAACTTCCCATCCTACTGCTGTGGGACCTCTACCTTCTTATTTTAGTAATATTAAGTAAACATCATGTAGATATTTCATCACAATCTACAATCTCTGCTTTCAAGAAATTAAAACCAAAAATACTGGTGAGAATGCTCTCATTTACTTGCAGCCACAGGACAGCTTCTTTGGAGACTGCATTGCCTTTAATATGTCACTTATTTTAGGATTTATAAACAACCCTGAACTTTCTGCTAACAGTAGACTCCAGTGGGAATTATTAACTCAAATGTCACTACCTCTGCTTCAGGGTTGCATCACTCTCCACCACAATCACATTTCATTTCCAGAGTACTACCATGCCCAGAACCACAGAATCCAACTGATAACAGAGCAAGAGAATAACGTCTTTTACCGCTTAACCAGTAATTTCACTGCCTAACCAGCAATTACTCTCATTTTCCCATCATAATAAACCAACCACAACTGTACAACCACTGCAGAACCAGCATGTTTCCTTGTCCTCTGGCTACTCCTAAAATTAGCCCTGGAGAGCACATACCCAAGCACTGCTGTGTCCTCTCCTCCCTGACTCCTCTCACACAGTTTGGAGCCTACACCTCCCTCACAAGCTGCCTCATGTCCCAAACCTCGGGTGCATCACAACACTGATGCACAAGAGAACACTTCAGCAGAGAAAATGACCTGTGAAGAGTTCAGGACACAAGGGCAATCAGTAACCTCAGTGTTTTCTGCTTTAATTATCTCCACGTTCAGTTCACAGCCTGGCTTTGTCTCCCCAGAACACACACACCACAGCTGTGTCCACGGAAAGCAACACTGCTGCATGTTACAAACTCCAACTCAGAAACACATCCTTCCATCCACTGAGAGAAGATGCAAAGCTAAGTGTCAGACAAACAGAACACTGGGTGCTATTGGGAGCTACAGATATTCTATCCATGCATTAAAAAATTCACACTGAAAAATTCTTAAATGCACCTCTCAGACTAGTTCTCAAGCTCACTTCTTGAGATTCCATTTTACAGAGAGAAGCTTTATTTTATCCACTTCCAGTGTGAACAACAGAGGATCAGATTCGGTGCTGCAACACTGAATTAGCTAAATGTACAAAAAATGACTTCTACTGTATTTCCCACATTTTACAGGTGCAGTCAGAACAATGCAAATCTTACTCTACAGCCTTAGTGCTTCTCCCAAGGACTTAAGGGATAATTTTTAAGCAATACAATAAGTTATCAAAAATGCTTATGCTTGGCATCTAACAGAAAACTATAAACATAGCAGTACCTCCTATAGAACTCCTAGATTTCAGCTAAAGCCCACAATCTGTATAAGCACATGCACTTTCTGTTCACTAAAAACCTGGCAAGTTGCATTTGTCACATAATTCTAGGCTGTGCTGTTCTATTCAGACATTTCAGATAGGAATAATAAAATAAATAGTAAGCTTTAAAATATTCAAGTGAATCATCACAAATAAGTTCTTCAGAACATTATAAAAGTCTTCTTTTAAAGGACAAAAAAGTGTCTAAATGAATCATCTCAAGATTAAGTAGATTGGATCTTACCCAGATTTCTTATCAAAAATATTAAAAATATACAGTAAGGCAGTATTACCAGCAACTTACTTCCAGCTCAAGGTCTGATAAATTAATTTCCTTTGAAATCTAAAACCAAAAGACAATTTTGTTACTAATAATCCTCTTACAGAGTGTTTCCAAGTAATGATACTCAGTTAAAGCTGACTCCATGTTCATTTGCAGAAAGATTTTTAAAGCAAAAGTCACTGCCACCAGAACCTAGAGGTTCAGTTGGGTTTTACTGAATTCTGATGTCCAGTCCCCAAGCTGCAAAGGCATTTACACCATTTTATACAGTTACCCACAGATCTTCTATAAGAAAATATTCTGTAGCCATGATCACTCCATACAGATACAGTGATGACACCTTACCTCATCTCAAAATGTTCTGCTATTTCTAAATTCCATATTTTTTTAAATTTTTTAAACAACCATACTCTCCAAACATCCAGACCCCAAAGCTAAATAGATTTTTGGGAAGGAGACCTAATAAAAACAGTAACACACTGTCAACTACAAACAACTAATAGTTCAATAGATTCGAAAAATTTGTTTTTAAAATGCATATCCAAGGCTTATGGAAAACTTCAGCAATAGCAAGAAGAGGCCCATATATACAAGACATCTTTTGGCTGTACTTAAATATGTTGCCACTACATGCAGAAGTTACAGCTCATACAGCAACTATGACACCCATGTACAGAGGCACATTTTCTCAACCTACAAAAATCAATCAAACGTAAATTTTGCTACAGTCAACCCAAGTAAAGACAGTCTTCCTTGTCACTCCCTTAATTCTGTATGACCAAACAAAAAATATTTTTAGAAGATATGCAAATTCAGAAACTCACCCTGTACATGGCTCCAGTTCCAAACTTTCGCTTTCTTCATTCTTTAATAAGTCTTCTATCTGTTCCCTGGAAGAAATAATTATTTGCTTCTATATCTACTGTTTTATTTTTTGGAAGTTTACAGCTCTCTCCAAAAGACAAGAAAACACTTCAAAACAAAAAGAGCAGCATTTTAAAACCAGTGAACTAATAAAAATGGCTTCAACATACAAAAATATCACTACGTTCACATTTTAGCTTCAACAATGTCAGAGGATAAGAAACAATGTAACTTACACTACTTTCTCAACAAATTTTTTCTGATCTTCAGGAATTGTTACAGGACACTTTGTGGAATTAGGAGAAATGTATGACAGAGATCCTGCACCGTTGGCTTGAGAACGCTTTTCATCATACTGTTCCCTTAGCTGTCTTTCTTCTTCCTGGTTTAAATATGGAATTCCTAACAAAAAGAAAAAAGTAAAAGCTCATCATAATTACAGACAAATTAGGGATGTGTACGGATTCAGCAAAGACTTATCACTAACCAAGTATCTGCCACTCTTACAGTCCTGAAGGCTGAAAACAAACCCTTCCTTTCAGTCCTCTGTCCCAGATCCCACTGGTTATCTGTGTCTAGCCAGGCTTCCCTCCAGCACATGCCAGACTAAGCTGGTACCACTGGACAGGGAATGAGCCCAAGGACTGCAGAGCCACAGGTCCCAACCACAATAATATTTAGCCCTCCTCTCCCTTGCTCCCTGCATCACCTGAATCCCAGGCTGCAGCAGCACTGTTTCAGTGCACTGATACCCTTTCTAAAACATGACTTCTGATTCATTACTATAGATCTCTCCATTCATGCTTTGCCACTGGACAACAAGAAACAACCAAACCATCCTGTAAGCAAGAATTCCATTCTGTTGAACCTATACAATGAATTCTTGGAAAGGAATTAATACCAGCACAACAGTAAAAGAGATAAGAATAACTCAAGAACTTCATTGTGTGTTAAGAGAGTATCATGAATAGCAGCATTTTTTCTTCTTGCAGAACACAGTGAAAGGTGTCATCATAAATATTGCAGACATTGAAAGAAATATAAAAAAAAACCCAAACAACTCACCGTTGCGAAAAACTTTATTAAAATCAAATCCTTGGTTTGCTAAAAAATCTATACTTGAACTCTGTAACAGAAGAAAAAGACTTTACATTTGGAAAAGGAGCTGTGGCATAAAAGATCAATTTGGTTATTTCTACACTTTTTAAGAAATTATACAAAGTCCAAAGTCAAGAGCAACAACGTTTTTGACCCTAAACAAGAATTCAGGCAATATTACTTTTGTTATTTATTTTGAACTTCCATAGAACAATAAATATCCTAAGGGATAGAGATGAAAGAATGAGGTACGTGGAGAGAGGAAACTAAAGAAAGTAAAATGTTCAGGAGAACATATCTGAGACCAGAAAAATGCTGGCAATAGCCTGGGAAGAAGTAAAAGTAAGACAAGCAGATGAGAATATAGGATAAAACAGGAAAAGGGAACATGAAGTCCAGTGAGAAAAGGGAAAAAATTAGAATCGTATTGCCAGGTTTGGAACATTATCTCCAATTCCAGAAATCACACAATGTAATACATAACAAGATTTAAAAACTGAAGTCAAAGATATTGCCTTGAAGCTCATTTTTAGGGATTGCTCTTAACTGATGTTTATTTCTCTTATAAGAAAAAAACCAAAACCAAACCCCATAAACTTCTATTTTTCTACCTTTTAAGGTGAAGTTTGCTGCAGGTACACCTTAACCAAACAAAATCAAACTTGTTTTTCTACTAACCTGACAGACAAACTTGACATCTGGTGAATTTCTGTTAAAGGGTTTTGGAAAAATATAGAAATTAAATGACTTCATTATATACCTGTGGAGAAGATGAGTTGCATGTCAATAGAGCTTATCAGTATCACTTTAGAAAATCCTCAATTAAGAAAACAAGAAATAAGAGAATGACATACTTTTCTTCTGTGTCACCATATTTAAAAGTGCAAAGGCCAAACTGAAAGAGCAAAAAATCCATGGAATGCTGGAAAGGAAAGGAAAACCTTGCATGAGAATAAAACTTGTACACATTTAAAGATTACCAGGGTGCCTCCACATATGACTTCTCTCCATTTCAAAATTAAGTAAACTGAATCTTCTTAACCAACGTTTGTTATGCTGGTAATTTTAAAATAAACACACCGGAGTTTTTCAACTAGTTTTCACCTGCATTTAATCATCTTACTATTGCCCAAAGATGATTTGTAGCATGCACTTCTACTCCATAAACAGACAAGAACTCTCTCCACCTGTTGCTCACACACAGGACATGCTGCACCTAAAGCAGCTCTCAGTCCTTCTCAATGTTCATTTACATTCCCTCCAGTGTGAGAGGAGGCCGGGAGGGATAAAAGTGTACAGAGTTTTAAAATACATGTAATAATACATTTAATATTCTTCTAATCCACATGGCTTACACTGGAGACAGGCATTCAAAATTAGCCCTCTTGAACATAAAGATCAAAAATATCAATTAATCAAGTTATTCAATGCTAAAGGTAAAGCCTTAAGAAGGTGACAACAAAGAATTCGGGTCTGCCTTCTGATACAACAGACTTCTTAAAATGTTAACAGACTGACTGTGCCTGCAGGGCCTGAAATGATGAAGCTTCTCCTCACTGAATTCCTCTCACCCAATCCCCCTCTGAACTCATAAATGTTAACACTCTCAACATCCTTTAACAAGTTCTACGCCTTTACTCATTCTTGTGTGAGGAATCATCTCTGTCTGTTCTGATCACGACTTCTGCAAGTTTAATGCAACATTCAATTCTTGTGCTAGCAGAACACAAAACAAGCAAATCCCATCTGCTGCCTGTAACTCAGTTTTAGACCCATGACATACTTTCCTGTGTTGTCTCCACGATGAACTAAGGCATTCTAACTCCTTTCCAGAATTTTCCTTTCAGTCAGTGTAAACACTTTACCTTTTTAAGTTTTTGATACCTTTCTTCTGGAGTGTCAAAGCCATTTGTTAATGCACTAACAGAAGGCCCATCACTGATCCCTGAAAAAGGAGAACATATTTTGCTTTGGGTAAGCTTTTTAAAATTAGCCACAGCAAAGAAATGCAACAACCGATAATTTAAGAAAAATGTTTTCACTTAATGTTACAATTATTTCAGTTGAGAAAGATTTTCTACTGCATAAAAGCCACCCATTTTAACAGTAGTGTTCCAGCAGCAAAGCTCTTCTGCAGAAGTTCTGTCATCCTGGTTCCTATTCAACGTGTCAGTAACACGCAAAGACCTTCCATACAATAATGTAGATGGGCTTTACAGCACAGTGCAGGATCAAAGCCAAATTAAAAACGGGAAGAGTGCTGCCCAGGGATTTATGGAATGATTTAGCCACTTTAAACAATACACAACAACAACTACTGCATTTCCATAAGCACCACATCTAACAAAACCTAGTCTTGATCACATTTATGGCTCAAGATCCACATGGATCATGTTTCATGGATGACTGAACTCTACATCCCAAAATCAAAGTACCTATTAAAGCATCTCTGTGACACACACACCCTCTGGATTTTACAAACATACAAGTTCTTAGTGCTGCCCTTCCCTGTCCAAATACTTGCAGGGCCTTTCTCATTTATCTGAATCTTTCACTTTCATGACATATTACATATAAAGGTATTACATGTAACACCTTCTTTTTTTCCCCTCAGCTGCAACTGAAAATCAATTGACACATTGAAAGATTACTGCAGGGAGGGAGTAGAGGCAGTATTAGCATGACATGTATCTTTGACCAAAACCTTGCTATCGCAGACATAACGAGTAGTTTGATCACTTTGCAGTAGTCTCAGCTTTAGCTTTTTCAAGTCAACACTGAGACAGCGAACTGGGGCATGGGGACCCCCCCACCCCAGACATTGCCCACAGCTCACCATCACAAAACCGGCGCGACTGTACCTGAAAACTCCCCATCGATGGCCAGGAAGTCGGACTCTTCAATGGCTTCATACACTTTGTTTAGGTTATCCTTAAAATCTGCGGGGAAAGGGGTAAAACGCACCTGAGGTTACGCACCACACCCCGGGGCAGCCCGGCGCCCCTCAGGCCCCCTCAGCCCCGGGGCCGCGCCTCCCGCCTCAGGGCCGACCCTCACGGGCCAGGGGAGGTGCGGGGACCCCCTTCGCCACGAAGGAGAGGCCGAGCCCGGGGCAGGGAAGCCGGCAGGGCTCGGCTCAGGGGTGGGGTGTCGCGGGGCGCAGCTGCGGGCGGTCACTCACTGCTCCTGGTCACCTCCATCCCGCGCCCGCCGCAGCCCGGCCCGGCCCCGCCGAGCGCTTCCGGGGCCGCCCCGCGCGCCGCACGTGAGCGCGCACGTGAGCGCGCCCGGCCGCCATTTCCTGCCGGGGCGGCGCCCTCAGGGCACGGAGCGCTCTGCGCTGCCCCGGGGCAGCCGCTGTGCTCTGCCCGCCCTGCCCCGCACCGAGCACCGACACGGCTGCCTTCGCTGCTCTGCCGGGCTGTTCGGGCTGCAAGGGGCCCTCAGCCGCCGGCCCTGCCCGCCGCGGCAGCAGCGGCGCTGCCCGGGGAAGGAAGGAGTCCCACCCCGCCGCTCTCCCGTGGGGCGTTGTGAGATGTCACGGCCCACAAAGCCCTCGCCTTTCAGCCCAGAAATGCGTAACTAGCACCAGCAAGGAAGAAGGGATGGGAATCTGCTGAGGAGACACCAGGAGAGCTGCTGGTGGTGGTGGTGCCTTAACGATGACAAGTCCAGAGGAACTGGAAGGCTTGGCGTGTTACGGAAGAAGCGTTCGCCTGCCTGGTAAAACCAGCACTTTCACACGTAATTGTATAATAACAAACGTTCTGTCCCCGCAGCAGCGCTGTGGGAGGAGGAGCTGCCCAGGGGCCGGGGCAGGAGCTGTGGGCACGGACACCGTGAGAGTTTAGTGAATGGGCTGCAGGGTTAAAGTTCACACGGCACAGGAAGCACCTTTTCCAGAATCCCAGCAGAATGAAAACAAATTGAAAAATCTTCATAAATTGAGAGGCAGTTTCGGCATAGAGAAGAAGATAAAGAATTACACCAGACTTAGCGGAGAGAGCTTTTAAAGATTCTTCAAGATTAAGTTTTGCCTTTTCAGTATAAGCAATTTATTCTACACGCAGTCCCAACAAGTCATCCAGGATAATTAAATGGTGCCTAGTAAGGCGTTAGTTAAAATAATAGTAAAGATGTTTCTATTTTACAGTAAATTGGCTGAAGCCTAAAATTTTCATGTTACTCCTCAGTTTTTTAAAGTACATTCCTGCAGTTTCTCGTTAAAGTGCTCATGGCACTTTGAAGCGGTTGATGGCTGTTTATAAACCTGACATTTCCCGCCAAATCCAGGAATTCCTAGCTGACAAATCCAGGAACTCTTTGCTTCTTTCACCTGTAAAATAAACACCAAGTAGTTAGAACTGACCCCAGAGTCCAACCTGGCTGCAACCCCCTTTCAGCTGGTTGTACACAATGAATCACTCAGTTTTCTTTGGACTCAGTCAAAAAGAATTGCAGTAAGGGAACAGAGGTTGATATATAAATAATAGCGAATGTCTATCTCTATAGATACACTCTCATGTGTCTCTGCTAACACGGACGGCCCGGCAGGGTGGCTGTGGGGTTACCGCACCGGGGACAGTGCCGGGGCTGGGAACGGGGCACCGCGGGGGTGCCATCGGGGCTGGGGCTGGGAACGGGGCACCGCGGGGCTGTCACCGGGGCTGGGAACGGAGACCGCGGGGCTGTCACCGGGGCTGGGAACGGGGCACCGCGGGGCTGCCACCGCGCCCGGGGCTGGGGGTCGGGCTGGGCCCGGCCCTGCCCTGCCCTGCCCTGCCCAGCGCAGGAAACGCGGCGGAGGAAGCAGCGGGGGGGGGGCAGGAAGGCGGAGCTGGAAAGAGGAGGCAGGAGAGGAGCCAGAAATCGTCCTGCTGCTGCTGGGTCTTGCTTTGGTGGAGACCGGGCGGCGAAATATTTTTCCACCCACGGAAATCCTGTTGGCTCTGCCTTCCGGGAGAATTAGAAGAATGCTTTTAAGTGCAAAACCTTGGTTTTATTTCTCCTCCTGTAGGTGCTGTTTCAGGTTTGCGTTTTAGAAAGCCAACGGTCCGCGCTTTGCCGGGAAATACAGGTTTGTAAGCGGTCTGAGGATTCTGGTTTCACTATTGTGTTTCTGTACTTGATTGTTGTTTTGTTTGTTGTTTTTTTTTTTCATTTCCGTTCTTAACCGGCTTGCATGCTTACCTCTTTGTGCTTGATCTGGATGGCAGATAGGTAATTTGGTAGTAAGCAGGAGCCACATGGTGGAGAGTGTAGTCATATTTAGTTTGGTAGTACCTGAGGAGAAAATTGTGTCGTTTTGGGTGTCTTCTGACATATCACGAGTGATGAGTGAGTGATCTGGATCAGTGTTTTTCTTGAGAAACTAGACACTGCCATCTGAGAGAATGGAATAGGAACATCAACCAAATAGATTTGTATCTTTAGTAAGCTTGGAACAGTCTTAGACTCTTCATGTCTGTGTTTTCTGAAATACTAACAAAGTATAACTGTCAGTAAAATTAATGCAGGGCTCAGACCTTCACTGAAGTGGAAGCAGGTCTATCCCTTGTAATTCTGAAACGTGTGACTTTGTGGATCAAACTTTTCTTCTCTTTAACATTGCCCAGCAATGTCTAGCGTTGACTTTTGTAAGTAATGTTTTATTCTGTATGCTTGGAAAGAAGAGAGATGAAGTAAATTAGAGCCTTATGTTATACTGGTGTTTTATGGTTGTGTTCTCTGATGGTATTTTCTAATTATATTTGATTGGTGTCTTTTACTAAAACCTTGATTAAAGATACTGTCAGAAGTCATGTGGGTCAGTGAGTTACTTTGTTTCACTTTCATGTGTTTCGTAACACAGGAGAAGAAAGTAGAGGGAGATTAAACCTGGCTGTTTACATTTAGAATGTGGTTTTGATTGTAGTTTGCAGTGCATATATTTTTGAAAAAGTAAATCATGTTTCATTTTGGGGGCGGGCTGCGTTGCTTAGGAGGTTTAAAACCATCCCAGCGGCAAAAGCAGTGCCATGAGAAATTACACTGCTTACCATCCTAAACTTCTATCAGAACTTTTTTCTTAATGAGGTTTGTTTTGTTGCTTTGCAGAGGTAATGCCTTACCTGGTTTGAAGATCTGAGAGGGCTTTCTGTTTGCGTGAGGCATAAAAGAAAATGGAAGAAGATGAGACTTTACAAGGGGAAAGGGAGAGGGCAGAAGCTGGAACAGGTGCTACTGCTGCCGTGGGTCGGCAGATCTCAGTCAGTGAGTTCCTTTGCCACTGCTGTTACGACATCCTGGTCAATCCCACCACCCTGAACTGTGGCCATAGTTTCTGTAGGCATTGCCTGGCCTTGTGGTGGGTGTCGTCCAAGAAGAACGAGTGCCCCGAATGCAGAGAAAAATGGGAAGGGTTCCCCAAAGTCAACATCCTGCTCAGGTGAGTGTACTCTTTTGTGAATGCCATTTTTGGATAAATCAAACCACTGCAATTAGCTGTCTGGTTTCTTGAGTTTCTCAGAATTTTGTAGCTTATTGGTAGTCTGAGCTGTCACAAGGACATTTAAATCCCAAAGGCTGTCATGTTCTGCATTTGTACTGAACTGTTCAAGCCCATTTTTCTGCATGGAACTAAGGGGTGTGTTGGTTGATTTTGTTTGGAGGGCTGGAGGGGGGGAGGTTTCTTCTGAATTTTTTGGAGAAATGGAGAGGAGGGATCCTTTTTTAGTATTGAGACCCTTGAATATTTTAATATAGCTGGTTGTTTTCTAATAATTGTAAGTTAGATTGATCTTTGATAATTATGTAGTTATTTCTGTAATAGGAATTATTTATAGGAAGAAATGTGATCATATTGCAGAACAAAGCTAGAAATATGTTTGATGTTTTGAATTACCCACAACTTCTTTTGTTAATAATACTTTATCTGGGATTAATAATATTTTAATAATTAGATGGTAAGATTGGGGGTAGGCTCTTACGTTGTCTTTTACCATTTTTTAGTAATCAAGACTTGCCAGTAGCACACAGAATTCTAATTTTACATAAGAAATATATATATACATGGGAGGAGTTATGTGGTATTTTAACTTTAGAAGCTAAGCAAAATGTTGTTTGGAAGTAATTGATATAAGTTTAAGTTTACTAAGTATTAATAACTAATTTTTCATTGCTTTCAAAGATGATAATCTTCAGTTGAGACTGGAAAACAAAAATCCAAAAATTAGTCCCTTTTCTGAATATGCAGCCTGAATGGTTTTGGTACAATGACAAATATTTTTCCCATTAGGGATGTTATTGAAAAGCTATTTTCTGATGCCATTGAACAAAGAAAAGAAGATATTCAACAAAACAGTGATGTAGCACGCAGCTTAGCAACCTTCCAAAAATATGGGAATGACCAGATCCCTACAGTTCCGAACACAGGAAGATTTAATCCTCGAGGAGGAGGGTTTTTCTCAGGCGTTCTGACAGCTTTAACTTGTGTAGCAGTAAGTTTCGTCTGCTTGGTTTTCCATATTTACTTCCTTTAGCATGCAATCAAATCTTCTTAAACTACATGCACATTAAATAGCTTGTCAGCACAGAAGAGCCTTCAGCTGAGCAGAGTGGCCTTCAGAGGTCTGTCAGGAACTACAACTGCAATGTGGTTTAGATGGAAGTTAGGCAAAGTGGGGAAAACTTCGAGATACTTTTTTATAACCTGAATATTCCAGGGCCCATGAAGTGGAAAATTCTACATGCCAAGCCTCTTACTGCGTGTTTATCGTTAATGTATTTGCTTTGCAGGTAAAAGATGAGAGGTTTTTATCTTTTTAATCCACCCGTAGGTAGTTCTACTTGGCTATCACTGGAGTAGCAGAGAATTTGAAGAAGATCACCTTGTCCACAAGCCTGTTGCTAAATGGACTGCTGAGGAAGTGATCCTCTGGCTAGAGCAGCTGGGCCCATGGGCTTCACATTACAAAGAAAGGTTTTTACTGGAGAAAGTGAATGGAAGGTGAGGGGCCTAATGGCCAAGAACAACTGTCGTGTCTTGGGATTACTGACAGATTCATTAGGGATGCTTGTTGTGGAATGACTGTACTGTGTTCCATGGATTGTGGGAATATTCTGCAAGGTACCAGAATACATTATAGGGGAAGTTATAACAATTGTTGGTGAAAACTTGAGTAGTAGATACTAAGCAAGCTACTTGAAAATGTTCTAAGAACTTCTTTAATTGCTGACAATGCAGACTGAAATGATACTGAGAGTAAAATTCTACTAGTCTGTTATCCACCCCTCCCACCTTCCCTTTGGTTTGGAAGTGTGCATGTGCCATGTGCATTGTTGCATTCCACCTAAGAGAAATGCTGAAAGCAGGCAAGAGGAAGCTGGAAAAGAAGTATTTAAAAACCCAGGCTATGAGATGCAGTTGGTGTGAACGCTTGATCTGGAATGTAATTTAACAATGATCTTTAAGGGCTTCCAACCCAAAGCATTCTGTGATTCATTCTGTAATCCAAAAGGTGCTGCCTTCTGTCAGTACCTTATTGTTTCAGTATTTAGTTGCTTATTTGTGAGTCATATCTTTGTGGTGAAGAGGCACTGTTTGCCTTCTGAATTCTTCTGCTTTTGTAGGCTGCTCCTCACACTGACAGAGGAGGATTTCACCAAAGAGCCTTACAGTATAGAGAACAGCAACCACAGGAAAGCCATCATGGCAGAACTGGAATGGGTGAAAGCTTTAGGTGTTAAACCACCACAGAACCTTTGGGAATATAAGGTAAATTTTATATTAAGTGTGTCATGTATATTAAGTATATATTTTAAAATAATACCTTTAAAAGAAGATTTTTTAAAGCCAGGTGGAATGTTAAGGTAGTGGAATTATGCTTGTAAAAACTGCTCAGTTTAATGAAATGTGGTATTTGAAAAATGATCCTTTGAAAAATAGTTGTCAGAAAATCTAAGAACTGGCATGTCGCTTTCATTTTATTTTTTCACTGATTGAAACTTGATAATTTGATATCTTTCAGGCTGTAAATCCAGGAAAATCCCTCTTTCTTCTGTATGCACTGAAGAGCTCTCCAAGACTCAGTATGTTATACCTGTATTTGTTTGATTATGCAGAAGCTTTCCTACCTTTCATCCACACAATTTGTCCTATGCAAGAAGACAAACACGAAGATGTTTTCACAAAACTGCTGGTAAGTGTTCAAAACATGAAATGTGCTACTTGCTGTAGTTACAAGCATTTTAAGACTGGCAGCATAAAAACATAAACTAATTATTCACCATTTCATCTCTTTACACTATGACTTTAAAAACAACAAACCTACAGAGTAAGTGGTTCCTTGATTTTATTTTATGTGGTCACCAGAGTCGGAACCATTACCTTTAATAAGATCAATTTAAGGCTTTTAAGACTTCAAATGTGTGACAGTCATCCTTGTGAAGTTCACAAGACTACAGAAAAGTTCTTCACTCAAATTACCTGTGTTTTAAGAAAGGGCATTGTAAGGTCTGGTTGTCTGTGATGTTCTAATCTAATGGAAATTACTGAGCTATAGTATTATCTACCCACAAATATAGTAAAGATAATTTGCTACTTTCAATGTATGAAAAAACAGCTTTTCAACAAAAGGCTAGTGGAAATAAGCCAGTATTGTATTTGTTTAATAGAAAATTGTTTAACACTCTTTTTATCCTAATTTACAGGACCTTAAAGATCCTTCATGGAAACAATGGAGAGAATTCATTGTAAAATATTTATTTTTGCCATACCAGTTGATAGCTGAATTTGCTTGGGATTGGCTGGACGTGCACTACTGGACATCAAGATTTATAATTGTGAATGCTATGTTGCTCTCTGTTCTGGAATTATTCTCCTTTTGGAGGCTCTGGTCAAGAAGAGAATTGAAGTAAGTCTTAGTGAGTTTGTTGAAGAGGGTAGGAAGTAGATGGCCTTTAACAATCTCATGATTTCACAGTTGCTCACTGAAATGATGGTGTCTGACCACAACTCTGAGGTTAATAAGAGCAGGTGAATCTCAATTCCTACATATGCTACTACTTCTGAATGCCTTTATTTCTGTGAATATTTGATAGGGTTTCTTACAGCTGGTTTTACTTATCAGATGTAGCAAATGCAGAAACAGTAATAAACATGTTCTTAACCACTGGGAAATACTAACCCTTACTGTGAGAACTGCCTTTTATGGTAACTGGTATTAGTTGTCAGCTGAGACTAAATACATCAGAATTTTGTCATGATATGCTTCCAGTGTAGTTATTAAAGGATGAGTCCTCAGAACCATAAATAAGTTTAGGTATGCTGGTATTATTTCTGGTAAGTTCCCAGAATTTCTGTTTTCTGTTATGACTTTAATCTTAATTCAAGCATATTAATATTACTTCATAGTTGCTGTGGTCTCATTTCTAGTTTTAGAAACTGCATGGGAGAAATTCTTGTTGTGATGTGTGGTGGGTTTTCCCTTTGCCAGCCGCCAGGGGACAGAAGAGCATAGGGGAGATGGAATAACCTGTGGCAGGGCTGGAATGTCACACTGGAGCCTGCTGGGCTTTGGGGTCTATGTACACTGATTTAATGCTTCCTCTTTAAGTTTGGTACTGCTGGGTTTTAAGAAAGCTTTTCCTGGAGTGCAAAATAGTGTTTTACAGGTAAAGGGTAATCCCAAGTAAGAGCTAAATAAATAAGGCTGCAACACCTCTTAGCTTTTCTTAGAGTGGGTAAAGACAAAGAAAGTCCCTCTAAGCCTTTCCCTTTCCTTTTTCACAGGACTATTCCTCACAGAATGTGGAGACATTTCTGGAAAGTCTCAACCCAGGGTCTTTTTGTTGCCATTTTTTGGCCTTTTATTCCTCAGTTTGTCTGCAATTGTTTGTTTTACTGGGCCTTGTATTTTAACCCGATCATAAACATTGATCTTGTGGTTACAGAGGTGAGGCGTCTGGAGACACAAGTGCAGTGATTGCCTTTGGAACTTTTGGGCTCTTTTGCTCCTAAAAATGGACATTTGAAATAAGCTTTGCTTTTCTTTGTGTATGTGGCAGCAAAAGTGGTGGATTGTGTTAATTTAAACATACAAAAAAGCCTTAAGGTAAGTTACTCTGATTCCAAATTGGAGAATGGTCTCTAGTATCCAAAAGGAATTTTCCATTGGAAAAAAAAAAAGACATTCCTTTTTTTAGCCATGTAAAATTCCTACAGTCATTTTGCCCTATTTTTGATCAGATCAAACTTCTCTATTCTGTTCTGAGCATTCTGTGTATTTTCCAGCCTGCCTTAAAGTCTTTGGAGCTGCTATAGTGATTTCTTTCTTTTTAAACGTAGCATTTCATCTCAGTGATGTGTTCCTCAACTTAAGTTTGCCAAAGGAATGCCCTTCCTGGATAGGCTTGATATTGAAAGTACATCAGTTATTTCAGTCTTCTTTACATGTAAGGCTGTGACTGTCTCTGTACAGTCTCACAGCAGAGTTTGCTCTAAAATTCCTGCTCTTGAGGGCAAAAACTTAAGTTTTCTCATCTTTTGGAAAATGTGGTGATTGCCATAGAAAAACTTTTATTCAGATCAGTTACACTTCATCAATAGCTCCTTTAGTGCTCTCCTCTTGAATTCTGTTGCTAATCCTTAAATTCAGGGTTATCTCTCAAAAATTATTATTTTGGAAAAGTGACCTGACACTGTAATTACGTCTTACTGCAATACAATGTGTGTCTATATCTGTGAGCAAATATTGACTGGAAAGTTATTTTGTGTAAACAGGATTGACATTTGTTAATGTATGTTTTTTTGACTGAAGAAAAAGTCAGATTTTTCAAGAGCTTTGTCCCCTTGCATTCTACTTTGGTTTGTTGTTTTGGTTTTTTCATTTGTATCATTGGTATGAACTTTAAATTTGCCTGTGAATATTTTGAAAGATTAAAGATCTCTTTTGAAATCATCACTATTATAGGAGTGGGTTATTTTGTTTGGGTTTGAGTTTTAAATATTGAAGTACTTGTCATTAGTTTTGCCTTGTGCAGACTGTTCTGTAGCCCTGTGTCTTTGAGTAAGTTGAGGTGGGTGAAAGTAGACATGAAACACTCCTGGTTCTATAACTGTTAAAATTAGCAGTTATGAAAAAATGTATTATTCAGCAATTCATGGTACTGATTTCTCTTCCTAAAAAGTTAAAAAAGTCTGTGAGGTGACCCCAGTTAGAACCATCTTTACATCCTGAAGAGGTGTATACACTTCTGAACTTGGTAAACTCTTGCTGTCCAAGATCAAACACTTGTGGAAAAGGAAGTTGGTCCCAACAACTGCTGCATTGTCATGTATCTGTTTTGGTGATGGTTTGCATTTGCACTTTTAAAGGTGGCTCTAAGGTTTTAAGGGCAGAACTTCTCCTTGTGCTTACAGGAAGTTGAAGGTGTACATAGAGTAAGGAGCTTGAGCCTTATCAAATGAGCAGCTTTTTTAGAAAACTGTATTTAAAAAGTGAATACTAGAAAAATAGAATTACTTAGGCCTTCTTTAATACAGGTAGGATTGCTTAAGGTGAATGTTAAATTAGTTAATTAGCAACAGTTACATTAGGCTTTTATTGTGTTTAATGTAGTTGAGAGGGCTGTGTGCTGACACTGTCACTTCATGCATTTTTTCCAGTCAGTTCCAAGTTAACAGATGTTAAGATAAATCTGAAAAATCTGTGAATCTCAATATAAACAAAATTAATGTTGTCAGGTCTTATCTGATAAACTCAGATTCCTATTTAGTCAATAAAAGGGCACTGCACAAGGTAAATAACAGGATACATGTTTACTTTGGCCATTCTTGGGTAGAGAGGCTGAGGTGGCAAGAAGGAGCATCAACAAAGGGCAACATCATTTGTTGTCACTACTGTGACACAAAAAGTCATTTTAGATTTAAATACATACAGAGTTTTCATGAAGACTGATGTTGGATGTCTAATACCTACATAAAGGCTGGATCTCACCACACATAAAGTCTGGCCACAAAAGGTATTTTCTGTGATACGGAGCTTTAGAAAAACATTTGACAGCTTCCCGGTCACATTCACAGGCCATTTTTTGACATTTGTCTTCTAGTGAATCTGAAAGAAAACACAGTATGTTTGATGTTAGCCTGAAGTAATAAAACATACCAAATGGAATGGCAACAGAGAATGTACAGGTATGGTACAATTGATCCGTGGATCAATCAGTGCTCACTGATCTTGGCAGGTGAAAATACAATAGTCAGGTAAAGACTTAAATATTCTTCTTCATGTTCTTTAATAAAACAACTCTGATTCCTCTTTAGAAAGTGGTGTGTGGCCTTCCCTGCTTGCCCTCCTGCTCTTGTGAAGCTTGAGTTTGGGAAGATAGTTTCCATCACATATCCTTTCATCTACTAAAGCACCAAAAATATATACATAATATGCAAAGATCTTCTATGTCCAGCTTAAATTGCCCACTTCTTTTTTATCAAGGCATTCAGTAAGAAGTTAGGTAAGGTGTGTTTAAGTGTGATAAAATCCATGTCTTGTCATGTTTGTTTTGTAATTGTAGTGTTGTAACTTAACAGATTTCTTGGCCTGAGAGTTTCTTCTTGGCATGAACATTTTCTTCCACAGCAATGTATTTTGGGTTTAGTGTGCCAAGCCAGAAATGTGTGTTTTTTTCTCTGTGCAACTGTCTGTAAACTGAGGAATCCTTGATTACATTTTGTCTGAGTATTTAACATTTTGAAAGCTTAGCCAAATCTCTGCTTGAGATTTGTCCAGGAGCAGAACAAGTGTTCAGTTTTGTGTATGAACTCAGTTTCTGCCATGAACTGAAGTGTTCATGTATCTGTGTTGATGCTGCAACTCCCTAACCTAAGGGCTACTCAACAGCATAAGTAGCATGAAAACACGATAGGATAAGAAACCAAAATACATTAACTGAGAACTGTTCCTTCTCCTGTAGTTGCTCCAAAGTTTATCTTTATGGTATGACAGAGACTTTGTTTCATCTTTGTTCCTTGACAACATGCCTACTGTCTTGGCCAGTATTTTAAAATATTATCAGCTTCTGGACTGGGACAGAAGCAGAATCTTTACAGGCAATATAGATGGACTGTAACATGACAGGTTAATTGGTTTGAGAGAGAAGAGGCTTCGTGCATCTGATGCAGAGAAATAAAGGAGCAAGGAGAGATTCTGCGTGGGGTGGACACTTGGGCAAAGGCTGAATGTAAAGGAGGAAGGGACTTAATGTCAAAACTTTCATTTGTTTTCAGGTCAGGCAAATTCTAAATGGAGTGATGAAATTTGAGGGGTTTGTGTTGCCTGTGAGTGCCCATCTGGGTGGCCTTTAAACCACTGCAGTCAGAAGCTCAGAGTTGCTTTGAACAAGTTCATGTCAGGGCTTCTCCAGCTAATTTGCAGTCTGGGTAGAAGCATAAAATTACATGCAGAGTAACTGACCTCAACAAATATCAGTGCTGAGAAAAAGGAGGTGGTTTGGGGCTGTGTTTTCTGAAAAGGTAATAGGAGCTTGTAGATCAGAATTTTGTTTGCTTATGTGTGTCAGTAGGTGGGGATTGAGAGTAAGAAAGTGCATTCAGTTGGGTGGCATAGCTGTACTTTCTGGAGGCACAGTGCATCCTGGCAAAAAGGTCACAAAAGGAAGGATGGTAAAGTCAGAATTTTACAGATAATTGAGAAAATCCCTTTATTCTATGAAGTCAACGAGATAATCAGTAGCAGTAAAAATGAAAAAGCACCCAAACCAACAACCTCCCCCCCCAAAACCCAATACCAAAAACCCCCAAGTGCTCACTCACCACACACAGCAGAATTGTCTTTGCATTCCCAGTGGTAACTCTCAGTCTTTGGCTGACAACCTGCTTGTTCTGCCTTGCCATAGCAGCAGTCGTGGTTAAAGCAGCACCTGAGAGGAACAGAACTGGTGATTTATGGTCACACAGTCAGTGGGTTTTATCAGCATGTTACTACAGCTGGGAAATAATAGAACAGTCAACATATGTGAATGCGCAGTTACCTGAAGTGTTAGCTCAGTATCATGAGAAAATACAGAAAATTGCTCAAAATTATGATTTTAAAGTTGTTCTTGTCGTAATTGGCACAATAAATTCATAGACTTTCTATGAGATTGTGAAACTGAGCAGTACAGGTGAGCATTAATGACACATTTTAATGCTTAAAACATTAAAATGTGCTGGGGCAGAGTCTAGTGTGGAGTCTCTGGTGTAGAGTCATTGGAAGCCCAGAAGAGCAAGTAGGAGAGGTAACAAGGACCTGAAATTAGGGAGCTTGTAAGTTTTTGCTGCAAACTAATGACACCCTTTCTTTTTTGACTTGGTGGAAGAACAGGGTGTATCCACAAACTGTGCATTCTGCATTCATTCATTCATTCATTCTGTTTCCTCCTGGTAGCCTAAAACCATCACATTACAGTAGGCACATGGTGTTTAGATGGTGTTTAGGTTGCCTGAGGAATTTGTGTCTGCAATAGGAAAAGTTAATGCTGTGAGCTCTCACTTTGCAGTTACTGCTTTTTCCCATGCTTATTAAGTAATTACTTGGTAATTCCACACGAATTGCTGTGTAAAGATCCCGTGGAACGTAACAGTTGAACAGCACATGCCCAGGGAGTAGATCAATAACTCCAGGGCATGCATAAAAACTTTAAAAAAAGAAAAAAAGCACAGAAAAAAACAGCAAATAATCTTCTTGTAAGCTAATGTTCAATTACAAATTAAATTGATGCTAGTCAATATGCTTAGATTTAGTACTAAATAGAAAGGGTTGTTTTTTAGAATTATTTTTATTTTTCAACAGATTGGATTTTGCATAATTTTTATGTATTGTTTTGAATACTAATAAAAGGGGACATGGTAGTAAAATCACAAGATTTTTCCAATTGCCTTTTAATTTTTACTTTCATAGATTTATTGAAAGTTTGAGCTTTAACCTTGTCCAACAAGACTTCAATTATTCAGCTCTTGGTTAAACAGCACCAGCAAAGAAACTCCGTTGGACTGTGAATCCAATACTAATGCAAGGGAAGTTGGACTTAAAGGCAATTGGAGCTCATGTAGATCTACAGAAACACAGTGTTTAAACTCAGTCCCCCACTGCTGTTAAATAGGCCTGATTTATATTTTAGTCCTGTCACTCTGCTCTTGGTAACTCAGCTGAGCAGTTCCTCTCACCAGTCCACCCTGTCCTTGGGCCATCCTCTTCCTCCCAGCCCGCAGTAGCAGCCGTAGCGCAGGTAGGCGAAGGGGGAGCGGCCCGTGGTGCAGCGGATGGCTCCGGCCAGCTCCAGGATTCCCCTCCTGTGCCTGGAACGGGCTTCCCCCAAAGCGCTTTTAGAAACTGGGGAGAAAAAAACAATTTTTATTGAATCAAACATGCAAATATAAAATATTTGGGGGGGTTGTGTGTTGTTGGGGAGGGTTTTAAGCACTGATAATTAACGACAATACTTGAAAATAATACAGTTTTATCTTTTGACACTTTGGGGTCACACTGCTTGACCCCGTCCCGTTGGCCCCAGTCCATTCAGAACAGCTGCAGGGGTTTCCTCCCATGGAGGCAGCAGAGGCAGACTTCAGTCATCTCCAGTCTTAGAACTGGTAAGGGCAGCTTCTGTTCTGTGGCCCAGGCCCACAGATTTTTAGGACTGGCTGCCCCAAGGGTTGCGGTGTTTACTCTTTATTATAACATACAATTTTGCCCACGTTCTTATTTTGTAGAATGTAAGCTTTATGTTGGAACAAATATGTCCTCTATGATAGGGTTCTGGTTTCCCTGATTTTTAGACAAAGCAGACAAATAACTAGTGGGGATGGTGTGGTGGATGCAGAGCAGGGAAATGGGTGGGTGCTTGGAGTCATTTCCAGGGAAATTAGAAAGGTGGGGTTGGGATATTTTTTTTCTGTGTCATTTTGTTTGGGTTTTTTTGTTGTTTAAGGGATTTTCACCAGTATTTCCCCAAAACAAACTGTATTTAGGAACTGTATTTTAACTGTCCCGTGTCAGTACTAAAGCAATAGGTCCTGAGCAGCAGAACAATGTTGAGACACTGGGTGACATTTTTTGGGGCTTCATGTCCTCCTGCAGGTTGAGCTACCCTTAATGGTAATGGGCAGCATCTCCTTGCAGTGCTGGCTCCAAGCTATTTATAGCACATTTCAAGAAGCTGAATGAGTACAAAACAAATTAGTGGGAGGTTTCTGATTAGTTTCTTAGTAATTAAACTAATTATTTATTTTGATATGAGGAGAACAGTTTATAAAACTAAACTCCCAGTACTGGATACAGATTGCAAAAGACATTAAGAATTAATAACTGATAATACCTTGTGAGGGAGGCAGACAGCAGAAAAAATATTTAGACTTTGTCGTTGAAGGCTTTGATATTTATTTTCCTACAAAATAACTATGATGATTATGCAATTTTATATAATCTGTATAATCATATAATCTATTATAATAGACTAATAGTGTAATCTATTATAATAGGTTATATTATAATAGATTATATGATTAACTATAATCAGTTAATGGAAAATCTGCCAGAAAAAATACTGTTCCCAGCTCATTTGAGTAACTTGAAACGCGTGGGATGCTTGTGACCTCCAGCACTTGTAATTTCTTGGAAACAATGGAATTTAAACACCTCATGAAATCTCCTCATTAAGAAATACAATTGGTTTGTGTATGAGAATGGTAAAAAACCCCTTTAGAAAGAACAGCAAGGCTTCCTGAGGCAGCAGTTGGTGCTTTCCTGACTGGGACCACTCCCAGATCTCTTTCCCTCCTGTTTTGTGGATGTGTGATCCAGGGAGAGAAGGGATGTTGAAATAAAGGTGCTTAAACTTGCACATGCAGCTCTGGCCATTGATTGAAAGGCATCACATCTTGAGGAGCTAAGAAAATCTTCCTTGCTCTGTCCTCGATTGCAGTTTCATTTAAAAACTGCTCCATTGGCACTAAACTTCCTTGCTAAGATAGTGAATAGTATCTGTTGTGCCATGGCTCCTGTTCCAGAACATTATCTGTATGTTTACTGGCATCTTTCAGCTCTGGGTATCAGAAGCATCCATTTGATTATAAACAGATTCTCTTTGTGAATAAAGGAAAAGGGAAAAAAATTAGAAACACATTAATTTTTTGTGAAAGGTCGTATTTCCTATACCATTTTACTCTTTGCAATGGGTTCAATGCAAACATAATAATTAATTTTGCAGATGCACAGTCATATTTTTGTTGAGATGCACAATTATGATACATAACTACATTAATCATTAGCATCTAATGCAACCTATGATGTTTTGTGGGTTTTAAAAGAATTTTTAAGCCATGCTTTCAAAGACTAAGGCTACAGAAACATTTTTTCATGTTAAATATGTGTAAGATTTCCTGTAGGGATATTTTCCCTGTGCAGTCATAGTGCTCTAGTAGTTCAGAACTAGAGACTTGGGAATAAGCAGAGTTTCTGATGCATCTCCAAGAGAGATGTATGCTTTACAGAAACTTCTGGGTGTTTGCTTAGAATTTGACCTCTTGTTTCATAAGCCATCAGGGGTGGCCTTTTTCACCTCACCTTATTGCCCGGACTACTCCCGTGCTATCTCCACAAACTGTGGTCACATGGGAATTTTTCGAAAGGATAAATTTGCCTGTTTTGCTCCTGTGGCCCAAGCATTGGGAAACAGGTGAATTGCATTTCCCATCCTGCCCACTGCCCACGGAGTGGGTGACTGCAGTCCTGACTCAGCGCCCTCGGAGCACAGCCAGGCTCGCTGCAATGAGCGCCCTGAGCTGGCACAGCAGTGCTTCCATGGCTTTTCTTACTGCTCTTGCTGAGGTCTGTGCCATGCAAAGGATGAAGTCTGGAGGGTGATCAAAATGCTGGAGGAATCATAGGGCCGTGCTGAGGTCAGGAAGTAGAATTGGGGCAGGGAGCTTGGTGGGGCCTTAAGTTGGCCCCATTATGCAAGCATCTCACCTTGTGGGCTGTAATCGTGCCACTGCCTTCCCCCAGACCCCGCTTCATTCCGTGCCCAGAATCTGCTCTAGGACTGAACTGGGGCCCTTGGCCTTACCATCCTGTTATTTGCACAATCTGGTGTGGGAATTTGCTAGGTGTGTAGGAATGTATAAAAAAAGAAGTGCAAGAAGACAAAAGAGAATCTCTTAATTAAGGCAGCAGAATGCTATTCTGGAAAAGTGGATTTTGTCCTTCCAGCTGTCACAAAGGTTCAGCATGAGGTTAATTTAATCACTTTAAAATGATGCCTGTTGGTGTTTACTAATAGTTTGCTCCCTGCCTGCTGAGTGTCCTGGGGTTGGAGTACCAAGCTGCTGCAATACTCAGTTGAGAGCCAGGCTTTGAGTAGTTGAAGTTCCACATAATTTTAAGCAGTTAAAATTGGGTTCTACCATGTCACTATGGGAACGAAATAAGTACATTCAGATACTGTACAGATGAACTCCTCAGAAAACGTATGAGGAAATGGGCTGTAAATTACTACAACTGGTCTTTAATACTGCTTAATAAATAGGACATATGAGACAAAAAAAATAATTAAATATTTGCAAAGCGAGTAATTGGCTGTGCTCAGGTATGAGGCAGGGGTCCTTTAATTATGTTCTCTCATAATAACTTATTTATAAAGACTGACTCATTTTTTCAGGAGAACTCAGGGTTTTGTAGGCAATCTCAGTTCTCGCAGTTCCTGCCCCTGAACGGCTCTGGAGCTCGAGTGCTCTGCGATAGCTCGCTCGAGTACCTAGAGAGTAGCAGGGGTGAAGGTATTGGCTTTGTAGAAAGATTGTTCCTGCACGTGCGAGCTGCGGGCTGGTTTCAAACCCCGACCTTCGTTGGCACAGCTGCGCATCGCTGAGGAACTTCCAGCGGCGCTGTGAGACCCCCAGCCCGGTGCCGCGGTGCAGGCGGGGCTGAGCACCGCCCGCGCTGCCGGGGCAGCTGCAGCCGCCGCTGTCAGCGGCACGTCGGGCTCTCCCTTTGGGCGAGTTCCACCCAGCTGTGCCCGAGCGCGGGGACACCTGTCACGGGGACTGTGCTCTCCGGCGTGGGAAGACAGGCACGTCCCGTGATCGCTTCTCCCAGAGCTCCTTCCTCTCCCCCTTCTCCCACCTGTCCCCCGACGCGGCCGAGCCCCGTCCCTCCGGTGCGGAGCGCCCGGGCACGGGAGCGGCGGGACGGGGCCGTTCCCCCGGCGGTCAGGACCGTGACGGGCTGTACTCACGGGCCGCGGGCAGCAGCAGGAGCAGCAGCAGGAGCGGGGGCAGCGGCGCCATGGGCTGCGGGGTGCAGGCTGCGGGTCCGGCGGCGGCGGGCGCTCGGCTGCGGAGCGTGTAGGTGTGAGCGGAGCGGTGGCGGGCCGGCTATAAAAGGCTGCTTTCTGCCCCGAGCCAGGTCCCCCCGAGCCCGAGCCCCAGACCAAGCCGTGCTGTCCATCTGGACAGAAGGGAGGAGCTGCCGCTGGAAGAGCCGGGGAGAGATGGGACCTGTCACTCGGCAGCGCAGCGCGGTGCAGGCACAGCGGGAAGGAGCCCTGGAGTCTCGGAGGAGGGGGCTCCGCTCCTCCAGGACCCTCCTGCTTTGGTAGCTATGTTTTCTTTTTGAATTACAGCACTTCCTTGGTAATTTAATCCAGATCTGGAGAGTTAGGGTGGCAGCAGACTGTGTTGCAAGTTAGTCTGGTGGTTAATTACACCCAGTGCCGAAGCCATGTGCTCTATCTGGAGTCTGCATCTGCCAGACTTCCTCTCCTGATTGCTCCTTTTCTTGGGGGACCACAAAACAACCAGCTCCTAAACTGGTTATGGATATTTGTAGCTTGATCAAAACAACTTTTTAATTGTACGTCAACCAAAATAGAGTCTCAAAGTGAGCATTTTTTTGTACGTTGTATATGTGCAAATATTTTCCTCTTCCTTTCCAACTCTTGTAGTATTTTGTAAAAGCTACAACTGGGTGCCATATTACAGTTTCACTGCCCCTCTCAACACACAGACAATACCACTTGCTTTTATATGATTTTTTTCCTTGCTAATACTTCCCAAGTATTTCTTCAGACCTTGCATTGTTGCACTGAAACCAGTGCATTTCCTGTCAGTTGTTCAAGCAATCAGGAGCCCCAAAATTTGGAGTATTGATTTTGTGTGCATGTGTGTGTTTTGTGTTGTGTTGTTCATTGTTGGGGTTTTTTGGCATTATTATATTCCAGGATATTATCCCCACTGGATCTCACCGAGGCTTACACTGCTAGAATATGGAAAGAGATAAAATGAACTTATGGAACTTACCAAAAACTTGCTCTTGGTCATGTCATCTTACTGTTGGAGACCAGCTGGTAGTTTGGGGTTTTTTGTAGTGAGTGGTATTTTTATCAAAGAAATAAAACCTTTTTTCATGTGCATACTGAAGGATAATTCTACTTTTGCATTAAAATGCTGTGATTTCTGCATCATATTGTTCCTCTTTAATCTGGAGAGGTAGAAAATCATATGTGGTACGATTCCAACAGACAGAAAGCATGCACAGACAGATCAGATTTGTTTCTGTCACGCTCTCATTAATCCACGCTCTGGGAGATGTTTGTGTTGGCACTGAAGTCAGGGCAGCGTGGGATAAATGTGGAAGCAGGCGGGATACTGATAGGCAGGATATTGATATGCCATTGTACACTTGATAGGCCTTTGTGCAACTGTGCAGAGCACCAGGCGTGGCCCGTCAGCTGGGACAGCTGTGAGAGGCACGGGAGGGACGGGATGAACTTGTCACAGCAGAAGCTGCAGGGTTTCCACCAAGTGCTGGTGTTCTGCAGAGGGACAGAGGTTGCTGGAGGTTCCCTGTGTGCCTCTGAGGCCCTGTGGATCCGTACCAGGCAGCTCAGACACGCTGCCAGCCCGTCCTTTTCTCCCTGTGCCTGCATCTGGCCAACGGAGCAGAGCTACCACCCTGCCTCCCAACAGAGCGAACGGGAGCACTTGTGAAATGGGATGTGTGGCAACCACAGATTTTGTCCGTGACCCTGAGAAATCTTGGTAGAAAACCCATCTATTTGGGATATTTCTTTTTTTGTTTTTTTCCAGATTTCGTTGCTCCTGCCACCAACTGGGTCAGGGCAATTTCCCTATTACTCATGGAGTCACAGCGCTAATTACTGTTACTCTGGGCTCGACTGTCACTTCTCCTGCATTTGTTTACCGGCTCTTCCGGTCAATAAGTCACACCTATTAGAACGTTTTAATGGTCTTCAAGAGCTGTTTAATGAAACTTCCAGTTGAACAGTGTCCCATCCAGCATACCATTGGATATGACAATGAAAACAGTATCCAAGGGAGCAAGATGAATTACATTTCATGTTTGTTCTTCGGGAGACTGATGCAATATGTTAGTGCAGCTGATATGTTTTTGTCTGAAGAAAAGAAAGTACTCTTAAACCCATTGAAAAATCGAGTGAGACTGAAATGTTCAGACCACAGCTGCTTCTATCAGAAAGTACACAGAGATGTGAAGTGACAGTAACTACATAAAGTGAAGAAGTAAGGAATGCAAATCAGGAGTTCTGTTTCCTATGAGTTGTAGGAAAAGTTCAAGGAAGAACATCTAGTGAAATTGGGGGGTGGGGGGAAATCTGATAGAAGGAAATACTTTTCCTGAGGAGCTAGGATGTCCAGCTCACTGCTGTGGTGTATGGCTAAGAAGAGATACTAGTAACAGATTGGAAGTTCATATGGATAGAATCATATTTTTTTAATTAGATTGAATTCTCTTTACATTTTTAATTAAAAACTTATGTGGCAGTGAAAACCTCTTATATTTCATTTTGTAGTGTTCCTTTTTTTCCATTTGAAGCACTTGAAAACTGGCCTAAGTCATATGTGACAAATGGCATTTTCCTTCTTACTGATGAATTCTTTCTTTCTGTCAGCTGGAGCTGTGCAGGAGTGGGCAGAAGCATTTGCTTTTCAAATATACTTTCTCAAACAAGGTTGCATGTGCCTCATGATTGCTTCAATTAAGTTGTTTTTAAATCTGAGGAATAGATTAATGTAATTGAGGCACGTAGTTCTACTGAGGAACATTCTCACAGCATAACACTGTTATTGGCAAACTTGTTAAATTAGTTGCAAAAGCCTTGTTTCTCAGTGTCTGTGATTATGTACATGCAGGAAGATGACAGAGTATATTACTCCAAAATGTTAATATGTTTATGGAAAGTGCTGGAATGGTCTAAAATATAGTTAATGTAAGTGCAAATTGTCCACTGCCCCATGAGCAGGTGAAGGTAGTGATTTTGAGAGCAGTGCAACAGTAGATTTACTGCTGACTAACAGATGCAAACCTGGATTTTTGTAGTAATAGTGGGTCCATTAAAATTTTTTATTTAGTAGGAACAGTTATTTTTCCCAAGAAATGAAAAAGCATGGCGCCTAACTTGGCCACATTTATATATACTCTTGTTGTGATCACCTGTAGTGATGATGATTATGATGGGTATAGAAGTACTTGGATCTGTAGGTGTCTGAGCAAAGTCCTGCAAAATTAGGATCCTACAGCATTAAGCATGTGGCAATTAAGCTATATGATGTTTTTGCTGTCCCACTGAATTAATGAACTAATAAAGAACGGTGAAAGAAATTATTTTCTCATTGTTAGAGGTGGGAATGGAGGCAGGGTGATTTGCTCAAGTTGCTTTATGATGGCTGTAGCAGAGCTGGGAAACAGGACCTTGGTGTTGTGCTATACTGCATAAATGTCCCTGAGTTATTCCACATCTTCTTAAACACTGGATTGGGACACAAGGTTTAGTCTGGAATATATCCCTTACAAGTGTATGTGCCTCCATATACTCAATGTCCAAGTAGTATGCAATCACCTTCTTTATCACTGTTATCTTCATTAAAAAAACCCAAACCAAACAGCCTTCCTTATTTGAGTATTTGTTTGGAAACATTCAGTGTCTTTGATCCTGTTTTTGGAGGTTTGGCTGGGTTTTCTCTCTTTCATGTCCTTCCATCTTCTCTTAGTTCCTTTTCACAACCAATGCTTGTTTACCAATGTTCCCTTCACTCATGTTGCTGGGAATGTTGTTCCAAACTGCATGAGAATTGTAAAGCTCCATATGGAAGATTAGAAACCACTCTGCTAAGCCATTTTATAATATTTTGCAATGTACGTGGTATTATCTCAAATCCATTTCTAGCACACAGAACAAAATCCCACTTTAGGGCTATAGCAGCCTCTAGTATAACTTGCAATGTGTGCATTTTGGTAAAACAAGTTTTGAAGTGCAAAGCATCTCTCTGGAAGGATGTTTGACTTGCTTGCTTTATATAAGTTACATCAACTTGGATTCTTGAAATGGCTGATCTAATGAGCTGGGTGATGGGATAGAGTGACCTCTCAGCACATTTGTGGGTGATACAAATTGGGGGGAGTGGCTGATACTCCAGAGGGCAGGGCTGCTACTCAGAGGGACCCAGTCAGACTGGAAAAATGAGCTGTTGGGGACCTCATGAACTTCAGCAAAGGCAAATGCAAAGCCAGGCAGCTGGGTTGGCATAACCCCTCACGGTGGGACAGCTTGGGAACAGACTGGATAGAAAGCAGCTTTGTAGAAAAAGAGCTGGGAGTCAAGTTAAATATGAGTCAACAGTGTGCTCTTGGAGCAAATGTGTCCAGCTGCAAAATGGGCTGAGTGTCACTGCTGGGCTTGGAGGGAAGTGATTCTTCCCCTCCTTCTGACACTGGTGACACTTCATCTGGAGGTCTGTGTCTTATTTTAAGAAAGCCATTGGCACACTAAAGCCAGGCTAGTGAAGGCCACCAAACTGTCAGGGGGCTTCAGTTCATGACAGACAAGATTCAAGAGCTGGATTTGCTCAGGTTTAAAGAAGATGGTGAAGGGAGGTCATACTGCTGTCTACTACTTCCTAATGGAAGGGTGCAGAAAAGATGGAGCCAGATTCTTCCCAGAGATGCACAAGAGGCAATGGGTACAACTTACAACATTTCAATATGGGAAACTATTCTGTTTGTTTGTTTTAACCAAGGAGGCTCAAATACTGAACCAGCTTGCCCAGAGAGGCTGTGGGAACTCCATCCTTAGAGATACATAACTCAGCTAAACATGGCCCAAAGCAACCTGCTGTAACGGGACCTGCCACGAGGAGAAAGCTGGACTGCACACTTGCAGAAGTTCCTTGGCACCTACCATGATTCTGTGATATTGTGATGTGATAGCAGATACCTTCAAATTAGCAGTTCTACACTGCCAGGGCAAGAG